AGGGATCAACTGAAGCATCACAGGCCTCGTACGTTGTTGTGTTGTTGAGTGACAGGCGGCGACAGTGACGAGTCAATCACAGGCAGAGTCAGAACGTACGAGGGTTTGATTGAGACCACCCATGATGGAAAAGTATGTTTAAACGTGTGTGTGTGTTTGCGTGTGTGTGTGTGTGTGTTTCAGATGTGTGTAACGTGAACCAGCAGAACAAGGCCGGATACACACCCATCATGCTGGCAGCACTGGCAGCCGTGGAGACTCCCAAGGACATGCACATCGTGGAGGAGCTCTTCAGCAAGGGCGACGTCAACGCCCGAGCCAGCCAGGTCAGTGACTGGAGGCCCGGGGGGGGGTCAGAGGTCAGAGGTCAGAGGGCGGCAGCAGGGCACCAACAGCAGCCTCCACACACGGTTTACGTTTCAATGAGATATGAAGGTCGTAAACTAGGCAGGGTGAAAGCGACACTACAGCATCATTGAAGATTATTTAAAATGTTTTTGAATGCCTGTGATTCATTATTACATCAGAGATTCACAAAACCAGACTGTGAAGTTTTTACCCTCAAGTAGGAAAAACAGTCTTCTGGTGACACCAAGTGGTGAAGACGTGTAACTGTTTAGATTTTTAAGGTAGTTTGTGTTTGGGTTTTTGCAGCTGTCATTAGGGAGCCTAGTCTTTAATGTTTGGATGGAGATGTTTTTAAAATTAAGGAGGAATCTTTGTATTTTGGTTTTAAGTTTTGATCTAGTACTTCTGATCGGTGATGATTTCTTTTACAGGGTGAATCCGTGTGTGAATGGGGGGGGGGGTTAGTAAAGTAAAATGTTGTATGATTTATGGCCGTAGCTAATTGTTTTCTTTTTATGAAGTCATTTATTCATTATTTATCTCAGTTAATTATAAAATGTAAAAAAAAAAAAGTGTAGGGGTTACACCTTAAAACTGCTTGTTTAATCCAACCAACTGTCCAAAACTTAAAATATTAAAAGTATAATCATCTGAAAGGGAGAAAAGTAGCAGCTCCTCACATCTGTGAAGCTGCTGATTTCAAACACTCTGAGGTTCCAGCTTCTCAAATGTGAAGATTTCTTTGTCACATGTGACAGTAAACTGAATGTCATCACAGGCTCCAGGAAACTCTAAAGGACGTTTTATTTTATGATGCAGACAACAGAATCAATAGAGAAAATGAATGTGTGCATGAATTATTTGAATCCTAAACTTAACCCCAAAACTGACTCCCTTGTCCCTGGTGCAGGCGGGTCAGACCGGGCTGATGCTGGCGGTCAGTCACGGCAGGATGGACATGGTTCGGGCCCTGCTGGCTCACGGGGCCGACGTGAACGTCCAGGACGACGAGGGCTCCACGGCGCTGATGTGCGCCAGCGAGCACGGCCACGTCGAGATCGTCAAGCTGCTGCTGGCTCAACCCGGCTGTGACGCCACGCTCAGCGACAGCGTGAGTAACTCATGAAGGTGCAGGGACGCTGACAGAGCATCAGTGACGGGAAACTGCCCTTCACTTCCTGTATCTAACTGTAAAACAAGCTGAATGACAGTCATCGTAGGACGAAACCATTAATCAATTATTGAGAAAATGATTGACACATTGATGGTGATCATCGTAGTTGTCGTGTGAGCCGCTGCCTGAACAGCCGGTCAAATCCCTCTGGGATTACAGGTTATGAAGTCACATGTATTATTTGGACGCACAAAGTTGTTCAGTGTATCTGCAGATTATTGATTTTATTCAATGTTTTATGACTTTGCTTCTGAATACGCTGCAGAACAATATGTGTAATTGTCTAATATTGATATGGATAATAAGTGGTGTTAGTAGAATTAATAGTGGATATGGTTTTGGGAGATTTACTAAATACTGATTGATGGCTTTCTAACAGGTTTTATTTCTCAGTTTTTCTAATGTTTCTTCCTTGTTGACTTGTTTGTTTCCCTCCCTGCAGGATGAGAGTAATGCCCTGTCCATAGCTCTGGAAGCAGGACACAAGGACATTGCAGTGTTGCTTTATGCACATGTCAACTTCTCCAAAGCCCAGTCACCAGTAAGTGTTGATTCACTTTTATTTTTATATCTGAAAATCGCAAATGTGCCTCAGTCTCAACAGTACACAACACGATCATTTACATCTCCGCTCTGATCCCAACCATTTAAACGTGTCTGTGTACGACTAACCTTCCAGGGAACCCCTCGACTCGGCAGAAAGACGTCACCCAGTCCCACCCGGAGGGGCATGTTCGATTAGAGGCCCCGCCTCTGCCCAGAAACCCTGCGCTGCTATTGGTTCACGCTGAACGATGCCTTACCCACAGCTGGATGAGGTGACTTAATCCCCAAGCACCAACCTACCAACCAACCAACCAACCAATGAGATTTCTGGAAGTATTTTTTTTTTTTTTTATTTATGTGCACGCCTCTCGTCTCCATGACGATCCCAAAGTGTCCTTTGAACATGAATGTAACCAGCTGGTGCCTCAAGTCCCATCAGGTTCAGGCTGAAATAATCAGCAAGCCACTGGAGTTCAGACCAACACGGACACTAATTCAACTACTAAATGCAACTTTTTCTTTGCCTTGTTTTTAGTTTTTTCTTTTTTTTGTCAATTTGACCAGTTTTTTTTTTTTTTTTTTTTTTTTTTTTTTTTTCTAAAGCTCAATGTTGATCATTCACGAGCACCAAAACATCTTTTTTGATTAATTTTTTTTTTTTTTTTTGTGAATGCATCAGAGTAGACAGATGGAGAATAATCCTTTCCATGTTAGAGGAAATATTTCCTGTATATATTGCTCGCCTCGACATCTCGGTCTGCGCCCAGCTCAGACGAATGCATCAGTGAATAGACGTGACCTAGACTGGAGAAACTGTACTTTTATACAAATCCTTTGTGTCTATTTAAAAAAGAAGAAGAAGAAGAAGAAGAATCACAGTATTTTGAATATTTCCTATTACTGCTTAACGAATCCATGAAGTTATATATTTATCAAAGTATAGTTTTTAATGCAGATATATGTATTTCATTGTACATACGGTGGTCATTAGAGTTTAGTTATTCTCTCTCTTTGTCTTCATGTCCAGTTTCTCTCTCTGTCTTGTCATGTGTAATATAAAGTGTCTGTCCTGCTCTAGTGTTCATCAAGGTACTGACTTTCATCTTCAAATGAGAATTGAAGTGCCTGAGACTTTGCCATATAACAATAAACATCAGTTAAAGATTATAAACCAGCGTGTCATCTTCATTGATGACCCACAACGAACTTTAGCTACTTTGCAGATTCTGGAAAATACAAAAAATAATCAACAAGTAAATGTTGGTGTATCATTTATTCGTTTAAGTAAGACTTTCCTCAAGGGGAGTTCACAGGCTTCCCAGCAGTGTATAAAGTAATTAATTACGTGTGAATTCATCATTTATCATTATTTATCTGTAAGTTGAGGAGATGGGGTGGGGGGTGGGGGGTCACTGCGTTGGCTGCTCATCACATTATCACAGAGGGACAGGTATTTAAGGAGGAGGTGGTTATCTGTTTTTTAATGTGTAAATATCAGAAAATCATGATGGCTGAACAAACAACAAAAAGCTTAGACGTTTACAACCCAAAATAAATGAATTTATCTGGTGATATACAGTAAATCTCTGTTTTAGAGATCTCAGGTTTTTCTTTGACATTGAAAGGCTTTTACAGTATTTAAAACAAACAAGTTTTGTCACTGTCATGTGAGTTTGGTGACTGAGAGTTTGGAGGTCAAGCGACTCACAGCTGAATCAGTCGGGGTAACGGAGCTGGACGTCTTCTGAGCGGAGGGTTTCCTGTGAGGAAGAAGAGCAGAAACATACACAACATGAAAAATTCTCCATCTAGTACCTGTTTCTTCTATATTAGTGAGTACCACTAATTTTGTTAAATTTCTGTCTAATAGTTGGTGATTGAAGTCCTTAAATATCAAAATGAAAAGCTGTATTCATTTTAAATAAGTTGATTTCTCTTCTTTTTTTGTTTCCATAATACAATAATGTTTTTGAATTAAATTCAAGTTTATTAGCAAGTAGATAAATAAATTTCTCTGTTTTTTGTACCAAGTTTTCTCACCTTTTTTAGGGCGAAGGCAAAAAGCCTCGACGGCTTTTGGCAACTTGTACATGTCTATTTTTAGACATGTCATTTTTATTTTTGTACTTGCAAATGAATCTGCTGCACTAAACAGGACCTCCAGACACAGAACAGACCACTGCAGACTCAGTAGGTGGATTTCGAGGTCCTGACAAACCTGTGCAGAGGCAGGATGGACCCCGGCCGCGTCCTGGAGAGGATGCGTTTGTGTTTCGATGCAGGTGGGGGGACGAGGCCGAGATCTCCCGGCCTGTAGCGGGCCAGCTGAAACCGGAAGCTCACAGCTGGACCCAGAGTCGCTGTGCTGAGAAGACACAGGAAACAGGATGATGATGGTGATGAAGATGGAGCTGCAACTCACACATAACTGTCCAGGTCATCAACGCCTCTCCCATCAAGCCCGTCAAAGTGACTTGATTATTATTGACCTTTTATTGGGATATACCAAGATGATTGGAAACAATGTGGTCGCTGTATTTAGACAGTTGAAACAGAGGACAGTGAAGCTGAGAGACGATATATGATATAGAAGCTAATAAGCACCAATAAAACATAAAAATAAAAAATAAAGGTGTAGTAAAGAAAATGATAGAAACGGAACTTACTGATGAATCAGAATGGTGGACGACACCTTTTATTATATTTAATTCTCTTTTAAAAAGGGAAATAATGAGAAAGCTACATTAAACAAGACAAGATTCAACTTTCCCATATTTTCAAACACGTGTCCTGTTGAAGTCTCATATTGTTTTCATTTTTACAGATGTCATAAATAATGTCAACACAATCATCAGTTGTTGGTATTTCTGGCTTTTCTGGAATCTGGATCAGATTCTGTCTGAGCTCAGAGGAAACATCTTCTGTAACATTTTGGGCAAAAGTTTATGAACCACGTTAATTTTCTTAATAGAAACAGAGAGTCGGAGTCAGTATCTGCATTCTGGTAAAATAACCATAAAAAGACATAAAATTAAATCATCTGTTTAACCGTTTGGTGTCTGAAAACTTTAAACCTGTCTTTATCAACGTCACTGCGTCTGCAGTTAGTGCACTCTACCTTTGTGGGGCAGCATAGTGTCCATACTGATCACTGATCACAGAGTCCATTCACAGCCCTTCAAAAAGCAGTTAAAACAGTTGCACCGTGTACGAACAACGTCAGACATCATCCCGTGACAGAGTGGTTTCATTACCTGGCTGCTGCAGCGTCTGAGGTCTGCAGCTCGTCCAGTTTCTCAGTGTTGGAGTTGACGAGTGTGGGTCTGTCCAAGACCACCAGCAGCTTCTGCACCAGCTGCTTCCACTGGACGACACTGAGGTCCCGGTCCGAGTCCTGCTCCTGCGGGGAACAGAACCGACATCAGGGCTGAAGTCATTAAACGTTCCTGAGAGGCTGAAACCATCTCGTCGTGCTGTTTTACCATCAGAGCCTGTCTGAGAGTGACGGCTGCTTCCTGCATGATGCTCTTCATCCTGCTCCTCTTCCTCCTTTCCTCCTGTAGCTCTGTGTCCAGCCGACTCACCTCGGCTTTGTTTTTACTGCTCTGTTCAGACAGCGAGGCCCAGTCCTGCCTGAAATAAACACAATGGTGATTAACACATCACACTGTGGGGGTATAGCTCAGTGGTAGAGCATTTGACTGCAGATCAAGAGGTCTCTGGTTCAAGTCCGGATGCCCCCTGTGGCTTTATGTTGTTTCCTTTCATCAGTCCTCATTGTTAATGTGGACTGGGCTCTGTCTGAAGCCAGTGTATGTGATGGTGCAGTGTAACACCAGTGCGGCGACTTTCATCCTCTAACGTTGTCCAGACAAGATTTGGTTCATGAAACCTCACCATGTGATGCTGTCTGTCTCCTTTCGTGTTTCTATCTGTCAATAATCAATGGAATTGTCCCATAGTTGCATCTCTATGTAGCACTTAAATAAATAAATTCACTTCACGTGGAGCGGAGTCAGGCTGTGAACACAACGCTGACATGTTATCACCTTTAAAGTTGATATGACGAACGTTTGAGCAAACAGTTGCTTGTTTACACATCCAGCAGCTACACAGCAAGTTATCATTCATGTGAACTCCTCCCTCTGGCCGCCTAAAAAATCTAAATCCAATGTTGCCTCTCTTCTAGCTCCTTTTTGGTCTCCAAGAACTCCACATGAATGAGGGAAATATTTGGCTGTTTAGCTGCTAAATGCTCCAATATGTTCATGGCTGGTTTCTAACCGTGTGTCTGTCTCCTGTTTGCTGCTGAGCAGGTCGTGTACAGGAGGTTTTTAGAGCTTTCTGCTGCCGCGGCTGGAGACTGCACTTTAGAGAGCAGTGAGAATGAACCACTTTTATCAACACGACAGGTAATCAATGAGCTGAAACTGATTATTAAAGCTCTGGGGACCTGAAGAATTTAGCTGGTAACATGTTGTGATTGTAGAAATATCAGTCATAGCCACATTCTTAACTAAGTTCATGCAAGTTACTCAAAACCTATAAGGCACTTGTTTTTTTTTAAATCAACATGGGTTTTAATTTTCAATGTTTTTTTTAAATTCTTTTATGATTAATTAGTTCAGTTTTTTTTAATTTGGTGATTTTCACCTTTTTGCTTTCATTCATTTTGTTTATTTCATCATTTGTCTCCCTTTTCACTCTTTAAAGTCTGTTTTTCTTCATTAAGATTTACTGCTAGGAGGCACACAGAGTATTTGGTCAGGTGAGGTTTCACTGCCATCTGCTGGACACTTTAATGGGCAGCGCTGCACCAAGGAGTCCTTTTTAATTCAGAGTGTGATCAGGTGCTGCTGCATGGTCTCATCTTGTCTTTGTAGTTCCAGTTGTCTGTGTGTGCAACAAAGAATAAATATAAAGATTTGGATAACGATACAAAGTAATAATTTAATGGTATTTTGAGGTACAATTACTTGTTACAATTACTATTATTGTAGTTCAAATGTCCCTGATTAACTTTGTATGTTGACTCTCAAAAGAGCCTGATAAATAACATTGAGTCTTCGTGTTCTGACAAGACAAGTGGCACTTGCTTTTACTATTAGGTGATTTTGATAATGTCTGTTCCCCTTATGTGTGTTTTTTAGTATCTATTGATACTTACTTGTTGTGTCTTTGTCACTGGAAACTTTAACTTTTATTTAGTTTCATTTAAAAAATATATTGCTGTACTTCATCATACTTCATCCTCTGGATCTGTCACCTGCTCACACATTTTTATTTTTCTACTAATAATAAAAAAAATAATGAGGTTAACTTAATGCGTATTGGGATATTGTTGTTAATGTTAACACTAAAGAGAATGAACGTGGAGTCAGTGGCATGGACAGTAGAGACCTGAGTGCCTCCGTCTGGACCAGGACGCTTCTGTGCTCAGTCTGAAGCTGCTGAAGCTCCCGCCTGCAGACCTTCAGCTCCGCCTGCAGCTGCTGACACTTCTCTGTCAGCTGCTCAACCACCTGATGGAGAGAAGATGTCCAGTGTTTTTAGTGAATCGTTTGTGTTTTATATTAAAACCAGGTGCAGGAAATACAAAAATAACGAAAAAGCTCAATGTTCATCTATCTTCTGCTTACCTTCTTGCGGATGCAGCTCTTGCGGGACAGCTCGCTAAGCATGTGCTCCAGGATGTCCACGTCCACGCTGAGTTTAGTCTTACGGTCCAGCAGGGCCGAGTTCTCCTTCATCAGGATGTGAGTCTGCTCCGACAGCTGGTTTAACTGAGCCCTCACCTCCGTGTTCTCCTGAAGGGCCAGTCGGGTCGTCTCAGGAACCTTCTGGTCCACCAGCTGCTTCACCTCGGCTTCCATGGCCGCCACATGGCTCTCCATCTCCTTCTCCAATCTTTTGACCAGGGACAGGAGAAGGGAGAGAGACAAGAATAATGATCTACTAACTTCTACTGTATGTATGTATGTAATTATAGGCTATCTTTGCTACAATCAGAGGAAAGTTCCAACCTCCTCTTTTCCAGCAGTGCTTTCATCTCCAGGTTGTGAATGTCAGCTTTGTGCTCCTCCTTCTGAATGGCCAGCTGCTTCTCCAGAGACGCCATGTTGGACATCAGCTGCTCCTTCTCCTTCTGAAACTCCTCCAGACTAGCCAGCCTTGCCACTGGACAGAGGGGGAGAAGAGGAGAGTCTGTATCACACTGAGAGTCCAGTCTTTCAATACATACAGTGCTTTCTGCAAACCTTGTGTTCTTTGGCCTTGCTCACTGAGGTTTAACCAAACCAATGAGTTTGTTTCTGCGTCCAGTTTGTGTAAAATGAAGTGTATCTCAGAAAGTCAGCTTGTTTATTTATATGATTAGTGAACTTACCCCAGGTATAATGTGTTGATGTTACATAAATAAATAAATAAATAAATATATAAATGAAACTTTTTCAAGTTGTTATCTTGTGTCCATGGGTATATAATTTCTCTATCTAGTGTTAACTGTAAACATACATATTGTCTCACATTTTCAGATTAAAATAACAACATACTTTTCCAACCTTTTATTTCTTAACTACTAAAATGTTATCATAGATTTTGGGGTAGATGTGAATTAGCCTGTCATTGTGAAAAAAAATAGTTTACATTTGCTGTAGCAGCTATCTGGTTCACTTAGCACAATTTATTCATTTCCAACAGGGTGGATGATATGGCTCTTTCATACTGCTTGACTGTGGTTTAACCCACAGAAATGTTCAGTCTCACCAAGTGTCCTGTTCTCCTTGGTGAGCTCTTCTATCCGGTCTTGGAGCTCTTGCCTCAGCCGGCTGTGCTGCAGCTGCAGGGCGTCTCTGTCCTTATCAGCAGCCTGCCGCTGACTCTCCAGGCGCTCTGACAGCTCCTCCACCTCATCCTCCTTCTCCAACACAGAGCATTTCAGATACTCAACAATGTCCTTTTTCTGTTTCTCCAGTGCACTGTACTGTGAGTTAAAGTCCCTCTTCTGCCTCTCCAGTTCATCACATTTCAGCTGGTATCTGGGGGAGGAAGAGGAATATGGGTTATGGTTTAAGGACTGAAGTCTTTAATGATTCTTGCAGTACATGCTGTATGTAGAATAGGTTGATAGGTGGTGGAATTACATCAGCTTGTATTGATTTGATATGTTTTTGTCCAAACTGACTTACAAAAGATGCGTTCAACATCAAAGCAAGATAAAAATAATCACAAAGAAGCACCAATTGACTACAAAAAACACAACAAATAGAGGCAAAAGTACCACAAAGAGACCAAAACAACAACAACAAAAATATAAAAGAGACACAAAGAGATGCAAAACATCTACTAAGACACAGAAAATTACCACAAGAGATTAAAAACTACTACAGTCAGATGCAAAATGACAACAAAGATACTTAAAATGAAAACAAATATATGCAAAACAACTACTAAGAGACACAAAAGGACCAAAAAAGAGACACAAACCAACAGAGAGAGAGAGATGCAAAATGACTACAAAAATGAAATCCACAACATATGAAACACTACTGCTTCTTTGTTGGAGAGGTGGTGGGGGGCCTTTTAAATGGCTGTGCCCAGTGGCCCAGTGTCTCACAGTTCCTCCAAGACTGTACCACGGAACGGGTAACATCAAAAAATATTAATAACTTTGGTACCATTCGGTGCTATAGCTAGGGTATCTAGTTATACTGGCTTCAAGTGATAGTGATAGTCTAACAAAAGACAAGCTAACAAAACAACAAGACGGCGAAAGTGCTGCGCAAATGACGTAAAAGTTGCGCTGACGAAAAAACGAGACTATAACAAAATTATTCACTATCTGCAGTGAATTTACTTGCTTGGATAAACATATGACAGCATTCTGTGAATAAGGAAAAGCTGAGTGATTTAATTTCCGCCTGCTTTAACGTAACGTTACCTCTCCAACTGTTCGTTCAAATATCGTATCTGAGTCAGGTACAAATCCTTCTCTTTGTCGTCAGAAACGTTTTTATCTGCCGGAGTCTCCCTTTTCTGTGGTTTCTTTGCCTCCTCTTGTTTGTCGCTGCTTTTCTTATCCTTCTTTTTGGGCATTGTTTTAAAGAAAGTTTGCAAAAGTTTACGCTGAGAGAAGGCAGAGAAACTAAACAAGATACGTTGTTGCTAGGCAATGCTGCATTCAGGGACTCCTCGAAAATGTTCCGGTTTACACTTTGAGCTGCATAATAGAGTACAGTATAGCATAGTATAGTAAGTCATAAAAACGTGATAGTATAGTAAGGCATGAAACGTCATAGAATGCTAAGGCATAAAATGTCGTAAAAAACTCTGATGAGGCATGAAAAGTTACGTATGATAAAGCATGAAATGTCCTTAAAAAGTCAAAGTATGATGAGGCATAAAACGTCATACACCAGTAAGGAATAAAATGTCATGAAAACGTCATAGCATATTAAATGTCATAAAACCTTATATTATAGTAAGTTATTAAAAATGTCATAAAAACGTCATAGTATAGTAAGCCATCATAAACGTAACAAAAAAATCATAGTATTATAATAAGTCATTAAAAACGTCATAAAAATGTGATAGTATAGTGAGAAATTAGAAATATGACAAAAATGTCACGGTATAGTAAGGCGTTATGAGACTTCGTAAAAACGTTATAGCATAGTAAGCCATTAAAAATGTATTAAAAACGCCATAGTATAGTAAGGCATCAAAAACGCCACAGGATAGAAAAAATCTAAAAATTTCACAAAAAGGTTATAGTAAGGCATTTAAAAAATCAAAAAAAAAAAAAGAACGTAGTAGTATAGCGGGGTATCAAAATGTCATAAAAATGTCATAGGATGATAAAACATTGAATATTTCACAAAAAATCTTTTAAAAACGTCATTGTATAGTAAGGCATAGAAAGTCATGAAAACGACATATTATAGTGAGGTATAAAAAGTCATGAAAAGGTCATAGTATAGTAAGGAATAAAAACGACATAGTATATCATAAAATGTATGACATAAAAGGTCAAAAATACATCATAGTATATTAAGGCATAAAAGGTCATAAAATCTGCATAGTATGTCAAGGAATGAGACAAAGTAATATAATTAGGCATAAAAATGCCAAAAAAGATCTTAGTATAGTATGGCAGAAAAATGTCAAGAAACATCATAGTATATTAGGGCATAAAAGGTCATAAAATCGTCATAGTATGTCAAGGAATGAGACAAAGTAATATAATTAGCCATAGAAATGCCAAAAAAGATCTAAGTATAGTATGGCAGAAAAATGTCAAAAAATGTCATAGTATAGTATGGCATAAAATGTCAAAAATACATCATAGTATATTAAGGCATAAAAGGTCATAAAATCGTCATAGTATTTCAAGGAATGAGACAAAGTAACATAATTAGGCATAAAAATGCCAAAAAAAGATCTTAGTATAGTATGGCATAAAATGTCAAAAATACATCATAGTGTATTAAGGCATAAATGTTCATAAAATCGTCATAGTATGGACAGGCGTGAGACGAAATAATATAATTAGCCATAAAATTTCAAAAATACATCAAAGCATATTAAGGCATAAAGGGTCATAAAATCGTCATAGTATGTCAAGGAATGAGACAAAGTAATATAATTAGGCATAAAAATGCCAAAAAAGATCTTAGCATAGTATGGTAGAAAAATGTCAAAAAACATCATAGTATAGTATGGCATAAAATGTCAAAAATACATCATAATGTATTAAGGCATGAAAGTTCATAAAAACATTATAGTATGGTCAGGCATGAGACGAAATAATATAATTAGCCATAAAATTTCAAAAATACATCAAAGCATATTAAGGCATAAAGGGTCATAAAATCGTCATAGTATGTCAAGGAATGAGACAAAGTAATATAATTAGGCATAAAAATGCCAAAAAAGATCTTAGCATAGTATGGTAGAAAAATGTCAAAAAACATCATAGTATAGTATGGCATAAAATGTCAAAAATACATCATAATGTATTAAGGCATGAAAGTTCATAAAAACGTCATAGTATGTAATCTGTCTTAACACGTGGAACAAGGAAAATAGGGAACGAAAAGAGAGCATGAGACGAAAAGATATAATTAGCCCAATGCCAAAAAAAGAAAACAGTATGGCAGAAAAATGTCAAAATAGTATAAGTAGTGCATAAAATCGTCAAAAATACAGTCATACTTATATAGAAGAATAACAGGTCACATAAAAAACGTCATTAGTATGTCAAGTAATGAGACAAAGTAATATAATTAAGGCATTAAAAATTCCGAAAAAGATTTAGTATAGTATGGCAATAAAATTGTCAAAGAGACGTCATAGTATAGTATGAGAATAAAAAATTGTCAAATACATCATAGTAATATTAAGGTATAAAAGGTCATAAAAAACGTCAATAGTTATGTCAAGGAATGAGACAAAGCATATATTAGCCATAGAAAATGCCAAAAAGATCTAAGTATAGTATGGCAGAAAAATGTCAAAAATAATAATATTAAGGCATGAAAGTTCTTAAAAAGTAATAAGTACGAAATAATATATTAGTCCAATAGAAATCTAAATAAGATATTAGTATAGTATGGCAGAGAATATGGACAAAAAAATGTCAATAGTATAAGTATGGCATAATGTCAAAAATACATCATAGTAATATTAAGGTATAAGAAAAGATCATAAAAACGTATTAGTATGTCAGACGGAATGGACAAAGTAATATAATTAGGCATAAAAAATGCCAAAAAAGATCTTAGTAATAGTAAATTGGCAGATGGAAAGAAATGGACAGAAAAAATTCATAGTATAGTATGGGCATAAAGATGGTCAAAATACGATCATAAAGTATATTAAGTATAAAAAATCCATAGTCATAGTATGTAGGAATGAGACAGTAATATCTTGGCATAAAACTGCAAAAATCTTAGTTGTAATGGCAGAAAAAATGTCAAAAGTATAAGTATGGCATAAATGTAAAAATACATCCATAGTAATATTATTAAATATATAAGGCATGAAGTTTCTCAAAAAAGTTATAGTATGTCAGAAAAAGAGATGAAATAATCATAAATTAGCCATAAGAAATGCCAAATAAGATCTTAGTATAGTATGGCAGAAAAAAAAAAAATACATGCATAGTATATTAAGGCATAAGGTCATAGAACGTCATAGTATGTCAAGGATGAGACAAAGCAAAATATAAGCCAAAAAAATGATCTAAGTATAGTAATGGCAAGAAAATGTCAAAAATTCATAGACATGGTATGGCATAAAGTCCAATACATAGGTATTTAAGGGCATAAAAGGTCATAAAAGTCATAGTATGCAAGGCAAATAGACGAAAATAAGATAATTAGCCATAAGAAATGTCAACTAAGTTACAGTATGGGCAGAAGAAATGTCAAAAAATGTACATAGTATGAGTATGGCATAAATGTCAAAAATCATCATAGTATATTATAGGCATAAAAGGTCATAAACGTCATACGTATTCAAGGCATGAGACGAAATAATATAATTAGCCATAGAAATCCAAGAAAGATCTATAGTACAGTATGGCAGAAACAATGCCAAATTAAGAATCCTTAGTATAGTATGGCAGCTAAAAATGAAACAAAATACATCATAAAAAATTAAGGCATAAAAGGTCATAAGAAACGTCAATAGTATGTTCAAGGATGAGACAAAATACATTAGCCAAATAGAATGCCAAAATATAAGTATAGTATGAAGCAGAAAATGTCAAAAAAATGTCATAGTATAGTATCGGCATAAAATGTCAAAAATACATCATAGTATAATTAAGGCATAAAAGGTCCATAAAAAAAAAATAGTATGTCAAGGCATGAACGACGAAATGAATATAATTAGCCATAGTAAAATGCCAAAAAAGCCAATCTAAGTACAGTAATGGAAAAAGAAAAGTCAAAAAGATGTAATAGTATAGTATGGCATAAGAATGTCAAAAAATACATCATATGTATATTAAGGATAAGGTCCTAAAAACGTCAATAGTATGTCAAGGCATGAGACGAAATAATGATAATTAGCCCATAAGAAATGCCCAAACAAAGATCTAAGTACATGTATGGCAGAAAAACAATGTCAAAAATGTCATACGTATAGTATGGCATAAAATGTCAAAAATACTCATAGTAAATATTCAATGGCATAAAAGGTTCATAAAACCACGTCATAGTATGTCAAGGAATGAGGACAAAGTAATATAATAGGCATAATCCAAAAAAAGAATCTAGTATAAGTATGGCATAAAGAAATTAAAAATGACATCAATAGTATATTAAGGCATGAAAGTTCATAAAAAAGTTATAGTATGGTCAGGCATGAGACGAAATATAATATAATTAAAGCCATAGAAATGCCAAAATAAGATTATTGTATGTATGGCAGAAATTAGAAAAAAAATGTCATAGTATATGTATGCCATAAAATGTCAAAATAATCATAGCTATATAAGGTATAAGGTCCATAAAAACGTCATAGTAATGTCAAGCGAAGAGACAAAGTAATATAATTCAGGCATATAAAAATGCCAAAAAAGATCTGAAGTATTAGTATGGCAGAAAAAATGTCAAAAAAGTCATAGTAATGTATGGCATAAAAATGTCAAAATACATCATAGTATATTAAGGCAATGAAAGTTCATAAAAAAAGTTATAGTAATGGGTTTTTCCCCCCCCAAAGCCCCCCATGGAAGACGGAAATAATATAATTAGCCATGAAAATGCCAAATAAGATCTTAGTAATCGAGGTATTGGTAGAAAAAATGACAAAAAATACATCATAAGTAATATTAAAGGCAGTAAGAAGGTCATAAGAACGTCATAGTATGTCAAGGAATGAGCAAATGCACTAATAATTAGGCATAAGAAATGCAAAAAAAGATCTTTAGTATAGTATGTGGCAGAAAATGTCAAAAAAACGTCATAAAGCACGTCAGTAGTATGGATAAAATTGTCCAAAAATAACATCATAGTGTAAATTAAGGCATGAAAGTTCATACCAAACATTTAATACATAAGGTCGACCTAATGACGAAAATAATATAATAGCCATAGAAATGCCAAAAAGAAG